AGGAGATGAAAGGCTCGCCATCATTCTTAAGACCAGCAATAACAGGTTCACAGAAGTAGGGCCCAAACCTAAGAGGAACCAGTTATACTCAGCCAGCAAGGCAGTAGCATAGCCTACCGTTTCTCGTAGAGCATAGTAGCCATCAAGTGACTTACAACATCACATGGCATCTCCCTATCCTCCTTCAACTTGTACAACTTCAGGCGGAATTTCAGCAATTGGGATCTACAGTCAACAACACCCCGGACTATTCGAGAGACCATCACCTCGCGGTTACAGTGTTTGAGAGTCCGTGGCAAGGCCTTGGAAGCCGACCAAGCATCGAGAGGTCATCGGGTACACCTTCTGCATGTTGGCTGATACCGTCTGCAGCTGGTTGACGCCATATCTTCGATCGCAGGCCTGGGTGAGTAATTTCGAGGCGCGTGACGCCGATTCCCCCCGATATTACAATTCCGACACAGCCTTCCCCCTTCATGGCTATCACACTGCCACCATTGTACTCCATAATGTTGCCCGACTGAAAAGGAAACCCGTGACAACCTCTGATGACAACCTTCATCCAGTCCTGCGGCCTACCATGTTGAACGAATGTACCGCAAACGAAAAACTAAAAGAAGGCAGACTTTGAGAAGAATTGAATGTAAGCCAACTACAACCCGACTCGACTTGCGTTCAAATTAAATGGTGAAATATAACAGGAATTTTGGATATTGATACTAACAATACAGTTCGAATCAGAAATAGGGTCTATCGAGTTCAAGCGGGGTAGTATAGGTCCAAGGCGACGTCATTATAGCTCTATCGAGGCTTGTTGGTCGATCCGAGGGCAACCTGAAGAGCAATCCCCTTCTCTAACTGCCTCCCAACGAGGAGAGCGCATTACCGGTGCTAAATGAGTTGCTGAAGTCTCAGCAGCAGCGGTGGTCGTCGTTGTTGCCTGTTGCTCTCCTCCCGGTAAAGCAGTTGGTAGGTAGGTCGGAGCTGATGGTCCCTGAGACGGCAACAGAACTTCGCTAACGATCGAGTCCCTGACCCTCTCACTACCGCCCGAAGCTCATTCTCCTTATCCATGGCGACCTCTTCTTCCAGCATAGAAAACTCAGCTTCCAGAGAGGCATCATCGCATCCCTCGGGGAGATTATAACTTCTACCCAAAATGTCATTGATCTCCTCCTGATCCATCATTATATCCTAACGATATCACCACAGTCCCTAGCAAGCTTTTTAGGTGTCCACCTACTGCCATATCGTCAACAACATCCTCGACATGGTCGATGTTGAAGTCGTTCATCTGGGACTTCATAGCGCTATTGGCCAC